CCTGTCTCCTCTCTCTGGGGACCAGCAAGACCCTCTGTCCTCTCTCCGTCCCCCACAGCACAGGGGCCGAGCAGAGGCCTGTGTGAGGCGCAGGCACCAGGACACCCCTCCTCAGGGTCTGGCTGGCTCTGTGGCCTGGCGAGAAGGGCGCCCCAGAAGGGGCCCCACTGTCTGCACTTTCTCCCGCCCACGCCAGTCTCCTGCACACGTGTCCTCTCACTCCCTGAGGGGGGAAGCCCCCCACCCAGTGTGAATCACCCTGGACGCAGGACAGGCGACCCAGCAGCCGAGGTGGCCTGGGTGGCTGGGGACTGTGCCCGTCAGCGGGGTTGCCCTCAGTTCCCGGGGGGAGGGGGGTTGGGGGGGCGGGTGTGCCTGTCAGGGTGCAAAGGAAGGGGAGCCCCTGACCCTGGGCCTGAGCGAGGCGCTGCGGGCGGACGGAGCGGCCGAAGGGATGAGCTCCAGGCAGGAGCCTCTGGTCGTTTTTAGCATCCTGGCGGAGCCAGCTCCTCTCCCACTGGCTGCCTCCCTGAGTCACTGCCCACCCACCAGCAAATTAAAAAGGGTGTCATCTGCCGGCCAGTGGCCCCAGCGCCGGCACCCGCTGGCGGGCAAGGCCTGGTGAGGCCTGCAGAGGGTGGTCTCCCCCAGATCTCTGCTTGGGCCTTTCTCCTCTCGGCTTCCTTCAATGCCCTTTGTTCCTCCCCTCCCCCCACATCCTAGGACGGTTCTCCCTGGTGACAAGACCCACCCCCTAGCTGCAAGGACGAGGCAGCTGCAAGCCCTCAGGCCCCCCACATGGCCCCATCCATCCAGGCGGGTCTCTGATTGGGCTGCAGGGGAGGGGACCCAAGGCCGGCTCAGCTGCCGGACTCCTCCCTGCGGCTGCTCAGCTGTCCACGCTCGCTCGCCTCCCCACCCTGGCCTTCCCAGCTCTGCCTGGTTGCTCAGGGCTGGACAGCCCAGGCAGGACAGCCCAGCCGAGACCCTCACTCCGTCCCTGCCAGGCGGTGGGCCTGGCACCGGGTGGACACTCGGCCTGCCCTTGAGCATCCTCCGGGCTCCTTGCCTAAATAAGGGAGCTGCAGCTGGAGCGAGCCAGCTGGCCGGGGGAGGGGCCTGTGGCTAGGCCAGGGTTTTCGAGGGGCTGGGCGGCTGCAGCGCCGCAGGGCCGAGCCCGCGGATTGGGCCAGCTTGGCTAGCCGCTGCCGCTGCGCTGCGGAGGGAGGGCCTGCGGGTGCTTATGCCGGGGATCCCCAGGCTGGAACCTCACACTCAGGGGCTGCTCTTTGATCTCCCAGCAGCGAGGAGGAGGCCGCAACTCCTGCCAGAATGTCGCCCTCTGTGCAGGAGATCCTCCCACCCCCACCGAGACCTGGGTGTCAGCTGGGGGAGCGCTCCCGAGCCGGTGCATGTCCCTCCTAAGTCTCATCCACCCTTATCTCAAATCTCCCTGGCTTGGGCCTCCTGTGGCTCCTCAAACCCAGCGCGGTTCCCGGGTGGCCTCAGAGGCTGGCTCATCCTTCTGGGGCCCAGGCCTCACCGTGTCACCTACATCCATCAACCTGAGCTTTCGCCCAGGGTGCCGACTGGCACCGTAGGGGTGCTCGCCTGGTAGGGGCCCAGGGTCTCAGAGACCCGCCCTCTCCAAGTCAAATTCCCCAGCCCATCAAGTCTGGGGCGGGGTCCCCAGCACCCTGACTGGCCGTCCCCAGGTCGGCC